TAGCTTCTTGTTACTACTAGTAAGGCGCTTGTTACTAGAAGCGATGCACTTGTTCCTAATAGCTTCTTGTTTCTAATAGCTTCTTGTTACTAGTAGTATGGCCAGGAGCCCCTAGTAGCGTCCTTTGCTCCTAGTAGCGTCCTTGCTTCTCCCCCAGTCATGGGCCGATCCGACGGTGCTGCCAAAAGGCCATGAGAGATACCCAGCCCCGCGCGCGTTGAAGTCCATCGGAGCCTTGGCAAAAGGAGACGGATGAAGATGGCCGCCATGGTCACGGTAGCGATGGCATTGGCGTGGGAAGGTAAACATGTCTCACACCATTGGAATGGAACCTGTTGAAGACTTGGGTACCCTCAATCTGACAGATTTCAAGATCCCAACTCCGTGAGCTCAGTTGCATCCAAGAACTCTTGACTTAATGTCCTCGATGAGGCTGCTTCTGGGTGCTTTTTCAAGTAGTGCTATGATGGAAAGTACAGAAAATCAACTGTTGTGACAGCCTGGAGACAAGATCTCATCTGGATGTCGGTCAAAGCTTCCGTTGTGTCCTAAAAGCCAAAGCCTTGAAAAAAAAGATCATGCATGCCAATCCACACAAAAGGCACCGCTGGCACGAGGGGATACCACCCATTATAAGGGTACTGTGGTTCTGACCCACAACAATCTTCAGGCATATGAAGTTAAGTTTTCCCTAAAAATCTGGGCACCAATTAAGTAGGCGCCTGCTTAATCAAGTAGGAGCAGGCTTTAACAAAAAATAATCAAGAAGGTCTAAGACCTTGACCGTCCACCTGGAGACTGTCCCCTGCCTGAGTCCTCCATGACATCTCAGGCGCCAAGACTTGCGGCGCAACGGCAGCAGGGTAATGAAGGGGAAGATTCCTGTATTGGAGTGCAAGTGGTCTGAGCTAGGTTGATTCATGTCATTTTTGAAATGTGGCTCCAGAAGATGGATAGGACATAACAAAGCCAACAAAAACGCAAACAACGTTTCTATCCTCCTTGAGCGGCAATTGGCGTGCCCTGTTGACCGGGAGTTCCAAGCCGCCCAAAGCATGTACTATCGTGTAAAAGGCATGTCTGCATGTGGTCACTTCTGCAACTCTAATAAATGAACGCCCTGGTGTTTCAAACAGGTGAGCAAACTGTTTTGGACACATGACTGCCTTCAACTGAACATTATGAATCTTACAAGGTGAGGCTATAGCTATTAGGTTGGAGGCCATTGCTATGAGGTTGGAGGCCATCGCTACTAGGTTGGTTGCCTTTGCGAAGATCTTTCACGGTCTGCTTGACTACGACGCCCGGACTGCTCAGTATCTCTGGAGCCAAAAAGCGAGCCATGATGTATCCGTACCCGGCGCCGCAAATCGCCGTACCCTTCTCCTGACTCAAGAAGCCGCCTCAAACGCTCTCAATAGGAGTCTCCCTGTCCGTGACCCATGGAAACTCGTGGAGATTTACAAAGGCCTAGAAACAATGTTCGCTACTAGGAACAAGTGCATCGCTACTAGTAACAAGTGCCTTACTAGTAGTAACAAGAAGCTATTAGAAGCCCTTCATTCATTGGGCTTCAAAAGAACCCTGGGGTGATGATGCTCATCTACTGTCGCTGGGGGGGCTGGCACATTCTCGGACTTTTCGATGAGGCGATCACAGGGAATCGCCGCGGGTTTTTGTCACCGCGGCATCTAGCGGCCACGAGCAGTTCGTGGCCAGGTGGCGATTCCGGACTGTGGTTCTGTTGGACCAAGCTAAACCTTCTACTAGTAAGGCACCTGTTACTACTAGCGTGGCACTTGTTCCTAGT